AAATGGCCTGCGGGTAACATAAATGGATCAGTAGGAATGTGAGTGATGCAAAGTACTTTGCAATGAACATCACTATTCCTACATAATCCTGGAAATGCAGATTAAAAATTCCAACATAGGGGCACCTGCATCACATGTGTGATATTACCAGATGTTATTGGGAGAGAGAAGAAAAGGAGAATGAGATAGCAGATGTGTAGTCTCTTGCTAAATGTTATTAAATCAAGTATAATAAATTATTTCCAACCAAATCCTCAAAAGACCACAAAGCCAAGGACTGAGAAAATATAATTAATCTTCTTCTGAATTCTCTTCACATTTGAGAATGAATATTTAAGATTTGATTCTATTTTGCAATTTAGAAATTAATCAAGTATTGGTTATTATAATCATTTACTCTTCTTTCTCCCAGAGAAGCTCACAGCTTACATAGTTTACAAGAGAAGAAGTGAATAGAATCTTTAAAAAAATAGAATAAAACATGTTATCCTTAAAAACAAAGAGAAAAAACAAATCAAATTCCTAAGTGTTCTAGACCTATAGAGCTCCTAGAGAATTTAAGTAAACCCTCTCCCATTAATAATTGTTTATTAAAAATTATTTGTAAGCCAATCATACTACCAACCTCTAACTGGCTCACACAATAAAACATCATTAAATCTCCTAACTATAAATTCATCTAAAATTATAATGTAAATATTATACACTTCAGGAATGTATAGTGATCAAAGTACTAATTTTGATAATCTGCCTTAAGTGTTGCCTTTTCATTTCCAATAGCTTGATAGATTTATTATTATTATTATTATTATTATTATTATTATTATTATTATTATTATTATTATTATTTGCTAGTGAAAAAAAAATGGATCCAGGAAACTACAGAAAATAGATTCCCTGAAACTACAGCCCTATCAGCCGTATCTCAATATCTGGGAAGATTCTGGAAAAGATAATCAAACAACGACTCAACGAACACCTAGAGGCAAACAAAGTCATTACTAAAAGCCAACATGGGTTTGTCAAAAATAGATCATGCCAGACAAACCTTATTGCATTCTTTGACAAAGTGACAAAATTAGTAGACCAGAGGAATGCAGTGGATATAATTTACTTGGACTTCACTAGGGCATTTGATAAAGTAAACCACAACCTGCTACTTGATAAGATAGAAAAATGTGGATTAGACAGCATCACCACCAGATAGATTCGTAATTGGCTGACCAAGCACACTCAATGTGTGGTCCTCAATGGAACTACATCTACATGGAGTATGCAGTGGGATACCCCAAGGCTCTGCTTTAGGCCCAGTACTTTTCAATATCTTTATCAATGATTTGGATGAGAGGATAGATGAGGCACTCATCAAATTTGTAGATAACACCAAACTGGCAGGAATAGCCAACACTCCAGAAAATAGCCTTAAGATATAGAAGGATCTTGACAGTGCTGCCTAACAAAATGAAATTCAATGGTGAAAAAAGTAAGGTTCTACATTTAGGCAAGAAAAACCAAATGCATCAGTATAGTATAGTGGTACCTGGCTCAATAGTAGTAACTGTGAGAGGGATCTTGGTGTCTTAGTGGACAATCACTTAAATATGAGCCAACAGTGTGCTCAGCTGCCAAAAAAGCCAACACAGTTCTAGGCTGCATTAACAGAGGGACAGAATCAAGATCACATGAAGTCTTAATACCATTTTATAATGCCTTGGTAAGGCCACATTTGAAATACTGCATCCAGTTTTGGTCACCATGATATAAAAAAGATGTTGAGGCTCTAGAAAGAGTGCAGAGAAGAGCAACAAAAATGATTAGGGGATCTATCAAGACCGGTTGCTGGAATTGGGTATGTCTAGTTTAATGAAGAGAAGGATTAGGGGTGACATGATAGCAGTATTCCAATAGCTCAGGGGTTGCCACAAAGAAGAGGGAGTCAAGCTATTTTCCAAAGCACCTGAAGGCAGGACAAGAAACAATGGATGGAAACTGATCAAAGAGAGAAGCAAAGTAGAAATCTCCTGACAGAACAATTAATCAGTGGAACAACTTGCATCCAGAAGTTGTGAATTCACCAAAAATGGAAGTTTTTAAGAAGAGATTGGACAACATTTTTCTGAAATGGTATAGGGTTTCCTGCTTAAGCAGGGGATTGGACTAGAAGACTTCCAAGGTTCCTTCCAACTCTTTTATTCTATTCTATTCTAGATCATGTCACAATACAAAAATATTACCTAAAATATAATCATACTGTTTAAAATTGCATTTTAAATTCTAGGCATCCAATAGAGTAGATAATATATTACAGGGGTCTTCAAATTTGGCCAAGCATGCCTGGCTGAGGAATTCTGGGAGTTGAAGTCCACAAGTCATAAAAGGGCCAAGTTTGAAAACCCCTGATATATTACTACAACATAAGTTTAAGGGAGATTTAAATAATGAGCTGGTCATGAATTTTCCTCATAAACTAATCTAGGATAACATAGTTTTGAAGAAAAGAAAACCCACAGCCAGTTTACTATTAAAATATCACTTAACTGAATGGCAATAGCTGATCTAGAGTCCTTTATAACTATATTCATGATGAATTCCTTGAGACACCTTGAGTAACAAATTTGTAGGGGGAGATATTGGCTATTTCTGTTAAAGGTCACCAAGAAAATTGGACCAACTTTTAGAACTTCCAGCCTTTTAGTACTTTCTTCCCTGCCTAGCAGGGAAATATGCATTTAAAATATGCATTTTGATGACACAAACACACCTCTGCAATGTAGACTAGTGTGCACAATTAAGGCATCCCTTCATGCAACTGACAAAATCAGATTACTGAAAATAAAAGCCTATGACCGTGTATTCATTATTCTTTCCTGTGTCACAAGTCTATTTGCTCTTGGTAATCAAAACAAAACAGAACCAAACATGGCTCCTTGCTGAAGTATAAAATTACCAGGATGATTGTTTCTTTGTTGTAAATTAAAAAAAAAAAAACATTATCTTTACTCTTGCCTGCTCCACATAGCTTATACAACAATTATAGGTAATAGATACGTGTGTTTTCTTTCAAATCAATCAAAAAGCAGATTGTTTGCAGCACGATAAAAAGGCACTGATCTGTGGCATGACCTTTCATAAGGAAAAGGCTAGCTTGTGACATATTCACATTATATTTGTAACATTATATTGACTATTCAAAAAAATAAGGCATCCAAAACAAAATTATTCTCTAACGTATCACAGGATATGTATTTCTTTATAAGAAATACAGTCTGGTTGCTCTTCTACAGTTTATTGCTACCAGAAGATAAATCAGAATATTCTTTTCATATTTGCTGATGAATAGAGAATAACCACAGTAAAGAAATCTAGCATTTGCATTAGAGAACAAATATCATATATGTTGTGTTAACTCATCATCCTATCTATATTTTAGATGAATACCTTTGCTTATCTAACTCAAACTTGTGTTTTCTCTAACATTAGGCAGAATGGACCCAAACTAAGAAAGTAGGAAGAATCAAACTGTCACATCTATAAGGTCTTCTCTGCAACATAAAGTTGTCTGTCCTTGGGCCAGTGGAAGATATTCTATTATAAGTTAATTAACTTCACCAATATTAAATTAAACATTAATTAACTTTGCATCCAGTTAGCTTTGTGAGGAGTATTGATACCTTGTCCCATTACTTTCTATACCAGGGGTCCCCAAACTTGGCAACTTTAAGACCTGTGGACTTCAACTCCCAGAATTCCCCCGCCAGCATGGTTGGCTGAGGAATTCTGGGAGTTGAAGTCCACAAGTCTTCAAGTTGCCAAGTTTGGAGAGCCCTGTTCTATACCCTGACCAAATAAGAGGTGCAGGGAAACATCATAATTTCTGCAGCAACCAAAAGAAAAATTGATAATAGTATGTGAGACTGACTTTGGGAAACAAGAGGAAGAGCCACAGACTAGGCAACAGTTAGATAAGAGGCAGTTGAGCCCCAAGAAGGAATGGAAGCATGGCAAACATCTCAGAAGGTACCCTCCTTAGTTTCTTGGATTGCAAAGATGAGGGAGGAGAGATATACTTTCAGACTTACACAATTCTGTTAATTAACCTTACAATAAAGTTAGAGTTGGTACTGATGGGTGGACTACCTCATCTGGACTACCTTGGAAGGCTGACAAGAAAACAGAAGAATTCAATAAAAAAAGTAATAGGATGAGCATTGTATTAGTCTATTGCAGGGGTCCCCATTTGGAATTGGGCCACAGAAGCAGTGGGTGAGCATGCATGCCTGTGTATGCATCCCCACTTGCACGAGCAGCGGGCAAGCACTTCTGTGCGTGGCCACCGCTTGCGCAAATGGAGCTGTATGCGCACATGCATGCTTGCCAGCCAGTTGCACGGAACCATCCCCTCTCCTCTCCCCACCACCACCCATCCTCAAAGCCAGAAAGGTTGGGAAACCCTGGTTTATTGTGGTCAAAAAATTAGGAGGGGTCTGGTAGCACCTTTTTCAACTGACATATTTTATTTTTAAAAAGCATAAAAGTTTATGAGCTACTGCCCACTTCATCAAATGCATGGACTGATAGAAAATTGAATTTTTAACACAGTATAATTACTAATTGATAAGGCTTTTGTAATTTGTTTCACATATCGCTGCATCTGCATAAGCAGCCAACTTCTCCGCCCTTTCTTTCCCCCACCCCAACTCCCACCCATTTTTGCATCTGACAGAAGTGAGCTGCAGATTTTGGCTTTTAATAAAATGTGTGAGTCAGAAAAGGTGCTTTGTGTAAAACTGAATACAGTTTTTGTATAAAAACAGTTCTTTGTGTAAAACTGAATACAGGTTATAGCCATGGTGACTGTTGTAAGTGAGGGAGTGGAAACTGGGCATATAGAATGCACTTTAACCTAAATCTCACTTTAAATGTTGTTTCAATTTCTAAAAAATGATTTTGTTGAAGTGTGCTCTTTGCCACATGTAGGCCAGCAGGTGGCATCATCTTACTTTTTCCAGTTGCTCCATGCAGGCATTGTGGACCACAATCTTGCAGGCAGCACATTTTCTTCGAACAGCTGACTTCTGAAATATTAACAGAAGAAAAACAAAGCAAAGGGAAGTGTCCATTTGTCCCAGAATGTGCATGTATAATAAACATTCTCTATTGTTAATTACTTTATACTCAAAATACATGTGCAAAAATGTATATGTGAATAACAAAATGTAGATTTTCTCAGGATAAAAGCTTGTCCTACGATTGAAGACCTGCCTCAACTTGACACAATATATCCAACTTTGTTTCTAGTGTTAGGTTCTTTTTATATTCATTTCTAGTTGGGGGGGGCTTGTACAAGATGTTGGTGGCCTTTTTGAAGCCATGATATCAATAGTAGCTACTACAGGTGTAGAAGTAAGCAGGGTACCTAGGGAAAAATATCCCAATAAATAACGGCAGAAAGGAATTTTTAGGGAGGGGGGGGAATCAGTGGTATTGGTGAAAATAAGTTGACATGTTTTCAGACTTTTAGTGCAAATTGACTACGCTGGCACAAATGGAATAATAGAGGGATTTTTTAAAAATACCAATTTTTTGACAAAAATGATCAATTGTATTATAGTGAATTTGCATACCACAAGGGAAGTCTCTAGATATGAATGCAATCTATACTTTTTCATACACACATATTAATTGTACAAGGACACTGCAGAGCAGGTGCCAGTGATAAGTCTTCTTCTTCCTATATGCCTTCACTTGATTTTCCACTTGACTTCTTTCATGGTTCAATGTACATAAAATACATAGTGATGAATACACAGCTCTCTACTGAGTAGATATGGCAGCATGAACCTTACTTTGCAAATAAGGTTATATTTGATTTGGAGCAGTCCACTCCAAATCTGTGGGTAGGATCTGGAGAGGTTCTATACTATCACCTTGGCAATATAAGCCTCTGTATTAATGATACATAAAGATGACAGAATGACACTATAAAACCATCTTTGGACTACAATCCTATACAGGAAATCACGCCATATTCAAAATTTGGGTGTTTGAGTTAGACGCTTGACATACAACTTTGAGCACTGATTTAATGTATGCCGAACAATCTTCCCTTAATAGGTTGATTCATGTTGGCCAAACATTTTAGCTCAAAATTCAACATTATAAAATTTCTTACAATAACATAAGCTTCCAATTAATATAGTTTTTGCTATTTTAGATTTTTTTCTCCACCTGTATTTTATTGTACGTGATTCTTCTACCCGTATCATCTCTTATATTCTTTTAAAAATATAAAATGATAACATGAGGGGGGGTGGAGAATAGCACTATGTATTGCTAGAGTAAAAATTCTCAAAGAATACTGAGAAGGAAGATCAACTGAGTGACTTCATAAGTTTTCTGATCATAGTGTTCCCTGCAATAGCAGAAACATCTGCTAACATCTGCAACAGACTATAGCAGTAGTTTCTAAATTAGAAATAAAATAATGCAGCCAATTATATGGAATGTCTTTTGGTCTTCTTTGCTGGAAATCCTCAAGTGGTTATTATATTTTGTGATCTCTGATAGATCAGTCAGGTTCCATCGCTGCCATCTCCATCTAAGGCACCCAGATGTATAGGCATGATCCCACCATGTTCCAATGGAGAGAGTTTACAGTGTATATGTACAATGGAGTGATTTACTGCAGAAATTCTGAAAATAGGACACTCACTGAGAATTTAACTTGGCAGCCTTCCTCTCCCAGGTAACACAGATCCCCAGATACATTGGTCTCCAGCCAGAGATGTTCGCCATTTATTGCATTTTCCTGAAAAGACAGATACATACATAGATTACTTCTAAAACAAATTAGTAGGATCATTTCTTGATTTTATTAATGCTATGCTTTCAGAAATTAACTACTTAACACATTTATATTGACAAAAATTATTTAACTGATTATGTTAATACAACATTAATAATAAGGTGATTCAAGATAAAAAAATGACACTATATATTAAAATATTACCAGGCTAATTCTAATAATATATGTCACTACTTTTTTCAAAAAAAGAAAATATGTTAATATTTCCACGTTCCCCTGGAATAAGTCCTATTTAACACAGTAGCTCTTATTTCTAAGTAAACATACATAAACCCATGCTGTTTAAAAGGCTTACACAAATGAAAAAGAACTAGGGAGCTCTGCTGCTTTACAGAAATTGGCTAAAAGTCTGAAGTCAACTTTAGAAACCGCTGGTCTATGTTTTGCCGTTGTTTTAATGTTTTTTTAATCCTATATTTCAAAATGCATGGACACCCAATATAATATACAGTTGATAATGATTCCAATCATCCCAAACTTCCTTGAAAAAGTCTGTTCAATGCATGAGGTTCATATGTGAATCTGAACCTTTTTTACTGTTTATTTGTATGTTTTTTGAATTGTAAGCTACCCAGAGCCATTGATTGAGATGGCAACTATAGAAATTGAATGAACAGATAAATAAATAAACTTGCTGGAATAAAAGATAATAGCAGGATTCACCTCTCATTCTAAAGTTTATGCAGCTGCTTCATCCAGCCATCACACAATTAAACTTATTGCAAAGCTGCTTACCAGAGCCTCTAATGTGAACTAAATAAGCATGCCCGGGTTCACACATTACATTCAGCCAGCCAATTCTATAACTCCAACCAATGTCATTTGTAAACTATGGTTTATGGTTAAGCATCTTGGGTGAACACAGACATTGTGATTTATTTAGTAAACCATCTGCCATCTACCATGGTAACATAACAAATATGGAAAGCAAGCTTTTGACTCAGAAGGAAAAATAAAAGAGTGCATAAAATCTTGCTTTATCTAGCAGACATATAGTAGTCCCAAGGATCTCATTGTGTCTATCCTTTGGGGCACATTCATGACGACCTTATCAAAATGCAGGTACCTCAATTATTCCTAAGCTCATCTAAATACATACTTCTGCTTGTTCTAATTAACATCTCAAAAGTCTCAGCCAATCATTTATTTATTTCAGATTCTCAAATTTGATTGATTGGTTGATTATGTGCCATCAAGTCTCTTAGGGATTCTTAGCGACCATGTAATTTCTTTCCACAATACTCAGGAGACACTCTATAATTGACTGCCATTATAATTGGTACGAAAGAAGGTGAAATGACATTTGCCTAATAGATTTTTACTGGTATATCAATCCTATGCTTTAGGAACTTGAAGCTCACAATTCAGAATAAATTTAAGAAAAAAAATAAAGCAGTTCTGATACCAACTTTCACAAGCATACAAGAAATCTTGATAGAAATATGTGAATGAGAAAACCCTGTTTGTTGTATGTGTGAATACACATAAAACACAGAAACATATTATACATACATACACATGCACACACACATATATACATACAAATACACACAAACAAACATGAATGCACATCAAACTGTGATACATTGCACAGAACTGACATTTTGGCTTCCACTTGAAAAAAAAGTCACAAAAGATTTTTGTGCCTTCCAGCCAGATGGTGTCTGATAGCAAATTGCTTGTAGATCACCTTTTAAAACTCATTTTCAATATCCCAGACTGTTTAAACTGGAGTTATTAAATGATTTCCTTCTATCAATGGTACTTGTTAAAAAGTAATTCATCCAAATGGCAAATTTATTGTTAAGACTGTAAAAATACTTTAGCAGAAATAACTAAAGTCATTCTTTTTTTTTAAACTAATGAAAATTATGCAATAGAAGAGTTCTGAAAAATATGAAAGCCTGCTTGCTCCTAGAAGCACGAAGCTGAAAACACCAGCCTGAAGATGACGAATGGGACTTCGTCGAAACGTCGCCAAGATACTTCCAATTTTACGTGAGAGAAAACCCAAATAACCAAAGACCTACATACAAACACCCATGAAAACCTCAGAATACACACACACACACACACACACACACACACACACACAAAACAGTTGGCTCATTACAACTCAACTGTTTAAATCAAAAAAATACCAAAATAAACCTGTGTTGATCTCCTTCCTATGGATTCATATTTATATTCTATAGATCTATTCATAAAACCTGTAAGTTTAAATAGATTTACTTAGCTGCATAGGTTAAAAGAAGTAGACTCCTTTCCTGCATGACTATCACAATATTTCACATAAATGTAAAATAGATGATTTTCTTCTATTTATATTTATTTGCAAACTCAAGTCTGTTGAGTTTTTTTACACATTGGTCATTTGACTTCATGATTCTAAATAACCTGGCAGTTAAAAGCACTAATAAAATTTGGCTGGTCCTGCCTCAGTGGTTTCTTGAAGCTTAGCTCAAAGGAAAAGTAACCAAAGTTCAAATCCTTCTCAAAACTGAAATCTGAGCTGGAGAAGCACACTAAAAGGAAGAACACGAAGTCATGTCTGATCATAGGCCCTTTATTATTTCTATCCCATTTTTCTTGCAGAAAGCCCCAAAAAGCACAAATGAGTGTCCCACCACAATTCATCCTCACAAAAACCAACTTGAAGAGATAGCTTGGCTCAGAAACAAGGACTAACCTCAATCAATTCTATCATCACATAAAAATTGAACATGCATCTTTCCACACACAAACCGAGCACTGTATCACACAGGCTTATGGCCTGTTGTTTTTCTCTTATCAAACTTAGCTCCATCATTTGGTTTTTCTATTTATTATTAAATTTACATCTTATCATTCTCTTGTAGTAAGGACCCAAGGTGGCTTATATAACACTAAAGCAAAATACATTATATAAGCATGACAGGAAAATCAATATCATTAAAATCATTACAGTAGAGATACAAATATGGAGAGGTTGCAGGGAAAGCAGGCAGGAGGAAGAAGAGAAGAATGCTAGACTGTACGGAGCATGCCACAGAGGTTAGGGTTAATGAACAGCCTAGTTTAATTTTCATTGGTAATGAAATTTTCCCATTTATTTGTAGACCAGGGCTTTTCAACCAGGGCTTTTCAACCAGTGGTAGACCAGGGCTTTTCAACCAGTGGTACAGGTACCACCTGTGGTACATTGGCACCTGGCAGGTGGTACGCGACCATCCTAGAAAAGTGGTAATGTGGGAAGGGAATGAGCTGAACCGGTGGCAGCACCACACAAGCCTGAGCGAGAGATGGCTGGAGCTGCAGGGCTGTCAGGGCTCAGTGGAAACACCAGGATCAGCACTAGGCTCCAGCTGGAGCTCGGCACTGATCCTGGCGCTTCTGCTGAGCCCAGAAGAAGCGCTGATCGGCTGGAATGTTGCAGCATTTCCAAGGTCTTGTGATTTACATTCAGATGCTTGGCAACTGATTCATATTTATGACGGTCACAGTGTCCCAGGGTCTTGTGAAGTGACCAAAGCCTGCTGCAACCACCCAGCAGACGGGGGGGATAAAAACCAAACACCCCCTACCCTACCCCCGCTGCCAATCCTCAACAGAAATTCTCATAACAATGAAAACCTCGGAAAGGAGGAAGAGCACGGCTGGGTGGGCAGGCAGGTGTCTTGCTCGGCTGTGGCTTGGGGGGCAATTTTTCAGTGCCATTGTAACTTCACACAGTCACAAAGCGAACTGTTGTAAGTCAAGGACTACCTGTACTTTATCACTTTTTTCCTTTGGAGGGGTCATCAAGTTTTTGATACCTTGCTAGGCGACTGGTGGTACTCGGATATTGCCATATCCTAAAAGTGGTACAATGGGTGAAAAGGTTGAAAAGCCCTGCCTTAGAGAACTTTTAAGAATCTATACCTGACATCAATTTCGTTTCTGAAATAAAAACCTAAGTTGGCTTATACTGTAACAGTGAAACAAAACACATTATGTACGCATGACAGGAAAATTAGTATCATTGAAATCATTGCTCTGGATATAGAAATATGGAGGTAAAGCAGGCTTGAGGAGGAAGAGAAAAATGTTGAGCTATGTAAAGCTTGCCACCTAGCTGCTGGTGCCTTTCTCTTTGGAGCATTAAAGCAGCCACTTTTTTTACAATCATTTTCAGTGCTGGTCCCATTAGTATAAATGGTGTCAGGACATGTAGAAACAAAAGGGAGATAGCTTTCGCTGTACAGTGGTGGCGCATGGTTAGAATGCAGTATTGCAGGATAACTCACTGCTCACTGCCAGGCGTTCGGTCTTGACCAGCTTAAGTTTGACTCAAGCCTTCCATCCTGACTCTGTACACCTCTTAGAGAGGGTTGTAAAGCACTATGAAGCGGTATATAAGTCTAAACACTGTTGCTATTGCTAAATACTACAGTACCGTATGATTCTCTGAAAGGTCTTTGCCACTTTTTTTTCTCCTCCCAAGGCTGAGTTTATTTCCAATTAAGCTTTGCCAGTTTCTTCAAACCAATACAGTTAGTAGTAGAAATCTTTTTAATTAATAATTGCTCCTTTTTTCTTCTCCTCCTTCTCCTCTTTTTTTAAGTCAGGACAACCACAAAAGTCCTCAAATTGTTGGGGATATCGAAATGCAGGATTCTCCACATTATCAACACAGTCCAACCTTTGGCATCACCCACATGGTCTGCACAAAGGACAGAGAGACACTTCAAATGGTCTGCCCATTTGTGCCAGAGCCAAGGTTTTGCTGGGGAAGGTCATGAGTTGCACACCACTCGGTGAGAGGCATTCCCATTTATTTAAACAACCCTCTCAGGAAAACACTTTTTTGGAGGGGGGAAGATGTGTGGTTTTCAGATTCAGTCCATGGAATATTTAAGAATGGGCAGTGTCTCGAGGGCCAGGTGGCAGGGCTTCTATAAAGTCTCTAGTATTGTACAGGTAGTCCTTAATTTACAATAGTTCATTTAGTGACCGTTCAAAGTTACAGTGGCACTGAAAAAGTGACTTACGGCCATTTTTCACACTTACAACCATTGCAACTTCAAAATTCAGAAGCTTGGCAACTGATTCCTGTTTATGACGTGTTGCATATGATCAGCTTTTGCGACCTTCTGTCAAAGCACATCAATGGGTAAGCCAGATTCACTTAACAGCCATGTTACTAACTAACTAACTGAGGACCCAGATTGTTGGGGGCAATGTAAATATATATATACATTGCTTACTGGTGTACACCGCTTAGAGAGTGCTTGCACTTAAAGCGGTATATAAGTCTCATAAATAAATAAATAAATAAAAAACAATTGCATTGATACACTTAACAACAATGGCAAGAAAAATTGTAAAATGAGGCAAAATTCACCTAACAATTTTTTTCACTTAGCAACATAAATTTTGGGCTGAATTGTGGTCATAGGTCAAGGACTTATTTGAAAAATAAGTTTGAAAAATACTACATCATCTTTCAAGGGCCTTTTATGCAAAGATAGATGGTATAGCTGGGACTTCATATATGCAGAGCTTGGACTTTTATTTAAAATCTGGTTATTGGGAATTAACTGTGCCCATTGCATAACTATGAATAATATACAGTTCATAATTCTACACATTTTTAACCATTCCAGGGTGCATTCCAAATTAGTATGAACGCTAATGGAAAAAGTATTATTAGTTACTATGAAAATACAATTCAAAAATTATACCGACTCTACTTTCTAGTCAACTACTTGCTAATTGTAAGCACAAGGACTGGTCACAAAGTTGCTTTTTCAGCACTGTCATAACATCAAGTGGTTGTTAAACAGGGCAGCTGTTGAGTGAGCACTACATATATGGCTTAGTTCCATTTGCAATCATTTACAAAAAATAATTTGCCCTTTCTTAGTTATACCATTTCTTCACCTTTCCAGTCTAGATCCCTAAAGATAAAGGTAAACTATTGTAGGAAATCATTTCATTTTTCTTCTTGTATATGTCCTTCAATAAGCAATGGATCTGAATTCCCATTTCCCTAATAAATTATGTCACTATTCTCATAAGTAAAAATGAAAATAAGTGTTTCAAAAACACAATATACTTGTCTTCCACAAACTAGTAGGATTTTCAAGGCCACTATGGGCACAATCCATGCTGTTCATTGTCATTCCCAAATAAGTACTCCTCAGCTATAATTTCTGGGAATTATAGGGATTTAGATTCCAACCTATCTGGAAGACATGCAATTGGAAAGGCAGCCCTAGATAGCCTATGTTGAAACACATTACTTCCTTATGTCCTGTCAACATAAAACTATTGAGCAGCCAAGAATAATCTTCCTATGGATGAAAACATTACAAAAGCATTTTTGCTACATGCTTCCTAATTACAGGACTGCCTCAGTCTAGATAAATCTGATTGTAATCTACATGGGAAGCATATATTGTAAGAAACCATGCATGGTTATATTGAGGTATAATTCTAAGAGTTCAGATTTACCCAAAATAGGATAGCATTCTCCACCCTGGTGTCTTCCAGATGTGATGTAACTGCAGTTCTCAAACTTTTGAGGCAGCACTGGTCATGTTGATTAGACTGCATATATGAAAATCACCAGACCAAAAAAGATTGATTTTATCCAATGTTCAACATTCCAGAAGATGGATAAGCAAATGCTTCAGAAAGATCTAACCAGGGCATAACTGAAACTGGTATAAAAAATGGCATATTAATTCGTAGATTTGTATGAGCCTTCCAAATGTGCTTTCCTATTATGTTAAGAAAATCTCTTTTGCTGTGTTGGACTGATGATAATTGCAACTGAAGCCCAAAACAGTTCTCCCAAAACAGATGGCCAGTACTGTACATGGAAAATGGGCAGTGATGTAAAGTATTTAAATATGTCAGTTCTAAATCTTTCAGTATGAACAGCACTTTGTTTCAAGTCAAAAATATCCGGAAACAAGAAAAGCAAAACTTATGATTAATCTGCCAAAATTAGAATTGTTCCAGTTAGTTCCTATTATCCTATTATACTTCCTTGCCTAACATGGTCCTTGATCCTAGACTGCTAGCATAATGTGAACCCTTGACTCTACCAGTATTTTTTAAAAAAAAAAATTAAATATCTATCCACTTTTGCCTATGGCTCTTCAAATTTTGCAGTACTACATCTTCCACCTTCCTTCAATTTGCCAGGTTGACTAGGAACTGTGAGGACTTACAGGTACATCAGCTGAAGTGCCATAAGTTATCCATCTCAATCAAAATGTAAACAAATCAGTTACATAAACACAAGATAATGTGCAGTCTCTATAGCACATAATAAATACCAAAACATGTTCATAATAGTTGTGTTGCATTTGCATCAGTAATATAGCATTATATCCAGAGTTTTATAAAAAGAACACCTTACACTCCATTCTAGTGCCATTCTCGGCTCCTTCACAGGTCCATTACTGATGGCCAAGTTGAGGTTTTGAACAGGAGTCAAATGTTGAAGGCCAGACCTGGAGATTGCTTTCCTGTAAGAGGGGGATAACAAACAGAAATTTAAAATGATTGAATTTGCCATCCTCTTTTATCCTCCTCTTAATCTGCATGTAAAAAGCATTTTTAAAAAAGAACTATTTATTAATCATGTATCACTTCATTAGCAACAGGGACTAAGCTCCTTTTATGAAATTACTTGAATGTACAATGTTCTTAATTAAAGTTGCTATTTATATAAGTTCAGTTGGAAGAAATATCTACTGGATTGATCAGAAATTTGCTCTGAGATAGCAATAATATAATATCCTCTTTTAGCCTGGAATTGAAGGTAATTGTGGGTACAATAAAGCATTAGTTTCATTCCGTTTCACTTTAAACTAAATTCAATAGATTTCATTAGGTTTTTTTAGATCTTTCTGCTGTATTAGTCTCAGTTGGTTTGTTTAACTGTTCAACGTTGCTGTTTAAATTTGATTTATGAGGATTTCATATTTTGTGTTTTTATTGAACTTTTTCTAAGCGTTATTAACTGGGATCTCAGCAATCTAAAATTCCCACAGAAACAGCATTATTTTGTATAACCGGTAGGGGTCCAGTGCAATCCATAATGTCATCATATGCATCATGACATCATTGCACAAATATGAATTTTGTAATTTGTGTTGCTCATATCACTATATTTTAAATCACCATGGCAGTAATTACATTTCTGCAGCAATAAAACTGTTTAAAGGGAAGATCCTAGGCTTCTTGTTGTTCTCCTTCTTCAGAAGCTATTCAATCTGAGTTTCTGAAAGCCCTGTTCCATGTCCTTTACTCAACTTCAAATGTCCTTGTTCAACCTCTGCATTTGACTGCATTTCTCTTGGGGCTTGCTTGAGAATTTACCACCTCAGATTTTGGCTGAAGCAAATCCTTAGGGTGTGTTTCTGGTTCACCTCACCCTACTGAATAGGTTCTCCTCACCACTGAGGAGGCAAATTGATTCTGATCCAGAATATTATGGTGCCTCTCGCTCCAGGCAATATTGTCTCCTAGCCCAGATAAAATCTTAGTCAAACTCAAACAGAGGTTTTAGATTTATAAAATGACAGGGCCAAAAATCATCACTTTCTATTATGGTGCAATTGCAAATTCTCCATGGACAATTTCTAGCTACTCCTAGAATAGAATAGAATAGAATAGAATAGAATAGAATAGAATAGAATAGAATAGAATAGAATAGAATAGAATGGAATGGAATGGAATGGAATGGAATGGAATGGAATGGAATGGAATGGAATGGAACGGAACGGAACGGAATGGAATAGAGCTAGAAGGAACCTTTGAGAGCTTCTAGTCCAGCCCCCTGCTCAAGCAGGAGAACCATCTCAGACAAGTGACTGTCTAGCTTCTTTTTTAAAATCTCCAGTGATGAAGCACCCACGATTTCTGGGGGCAAGCTATTCCACTGGTTAATTGTCCTCACTCTCAGGAAGCTTCTCCTTAATTCTAGGTTGCTTCTCTCTTTGATCAGTTTTCAACCCTTGTTTCTTGTCCTGCCCTCAGGCACTTTGGTGAATAATGTGACCCCCTCTTCTTTGTGGCAACCCCTCAAATACTGGAATGCTGCTATCATGTCTCCCCTCTTTCTTCTTTTCTTTAGTGGTGAACCTTTTAGAGACTGAGTGCCCAAAACTCACCCCACCCACCCCCACTCCCACCCCCACCCCACCTGCAGGGCCACCCACCACCTCTATGGCCTGCCACAGCAGATCACCAAGGCGGCCCTGCAGCGCTGCCATGGCGGCCCTGCCCTCCACCCGCGCCCCATAATATCATCTGTGCACAACGGGGTGTAAGGGCAGAGTTTTCTCCCTGCTGCCCAGGGGCGCCTCTCCTCCAGGGGAGCTGCTGATGAGGAGGGGGCCAGGGGGAGGCGGGGCTGGGGCAGCAGTGCACGTGCCCACAGAGAGGGCTCTGAGTGCCGCCTCTGGCACATGTGCCATAGATTCGCCACCACTGCAGCCGTTCTTCGTATGTTTTAGTCTCCAGGCCTTTGATCATCTTAGTTGCTCTTCTCTGAATTTTTTCCAAATTCTCAACATCTTTTTTGTGATATGGTGACCAAAATTGGCTGCAGTATTCCAGATGTGGTCTTACTAGGGTTTTATAAAGCGGTACTAATAGCTCGTGTGATCTTGATTCTATGACTCTGTTTATACAACCCAGGAGTTTTTTACCTTGGCTTATACTAGTATATTATATAGACAAATATACTAGTCTCCCAAACAATGGCCATCATTTTGAATAGACATAAGCTTGCAAAATACATCATGTTTCTATTCAGGTACAGAGCTAAAGTCAATAATCTAGTATTGTTATATTGTTCATTGTCCCACTGATGGCATCTGACACTCATAAAATTGATTATCAGAATGTTTGGTTGTCTAACTTTCTGATTAATAAACTACAATTATCCTTTCATAAAACTTAACTTGGACAACCCCTACAAAGATTGCCAAATTTCTTGAGATAGCTCTGGCTTGCAGCAGCTGACTGATATTCTCTTTTCACTATTGCTTCATGGAGGGGAGTTGTCCTGTATTTTAAATTTTATATATTTGTGCTTTATTGGTGTTTTTGTATTTTAAATTCTGCATTGTGTTGTATTGGTCTCTGGGACAAAATATAAAATAAAATCAACAAATATACATCTCATTCATATCTATTTCTGCATACACATATCCTTCTTAGTTTTGTCTTGTTCTAGTAGTTCATTTTGAATAGACATAAGCTTGAAAAATACATCATTTTTTGTGATTCAAAGGAGATAAATGTAGTTTCTTGTCAAGGCCTCACATATTATTAGGAAAAACATCATGTAAAGCCCCTTCCAACCTAGATAGAAATGACTGTTAAACAATCCTTTTAGTCTCTCACTCTCTAAATCTCCTTTGTAGAAACTCCATGTATGCTTTTTATAGTGCCAAGGCTGTACCTATTCCTGTACTCTTCCTGTTCTATTTATATATTGCATGGATATACAGCTCTTCCACCTTTCTTCCCTTTTCTCCAGATCTGCCAGTTTATGTAGTTATGAGACTTGTAATCAGCTTCCCCAGTCTAATTATCAAGTACTAAAAACATGACATAAATACCCATTACTGAAATAAGTCTAACTCTGCTTGGCAGATATTTTGCTGCATAATAGCAATGTGCTTTTCGTGCTGTAACATATTGTTGAGAAATCATTTTGACTGAACACTACTAAACAAATAGCTTAAAATGATCTATTTCAAAATGCCTCTGAGATTGCGTTCATGCCAATACATGGCTGTCATCACAAGAGAGACAGCAAAAGCGTTCCTGGAGCTCACATGCTGTCAAGCCCAAAGCCAAAGATGACGCAGTGAATTCCAGTTCTTAATTTGCTTACACCTAATAGACAGAATCTTGCCAGATCAAAGCTATAACCAGATTGCCAGATTACCTGGGAGATTCTAGGGTGTGAACTACCCTCAATCTTTTCCTCCCTTTGCGATCCAGTTCAGGACTACACAGTCTCTCATTTTGGACTTTTGGAATATGCAGCCTTCACCTTTGGAAACCATGGTGCTCTTGCCAACATTGACCCCTACTCTTTCTCCAGGTGCTCACTCCATCACATATACGGTCTTCATATAGCAACGTTTGCAAAGACAGCAAACATGAACAAGCATTCCTTCATTAGAACTGCTTTGTACTATGTTCAAACATAATTTTTTCTGACCAAAAATTATTTGCCACCAGGAGTACAGCCCCAGGAACGCACACTCAGGAGTGCTCCCACTTACCATTATTTTCAGAATCCCTGCTATCCTGTTTATATCCATTAGAATTTATATCCATGTTTATTACAGCTTTCCTGTAATTCAAGTGCCCCCAATATGGCATCCTCTAGCTATGAGGCTATATTGTTTGGAATTATATTCAACTGAAGAACAGCAATTGGGGAAAGCTGATATGACATACATCTCAGCAAATTGCACCCTGGGATGTCATGTCTAGGCACCCAAACAAAGCATAGTCAGGTCTTGGTTAGTTATCGAATGAGAGACTGGGAGAGTATACCATGGCTATAGGTTACCTTGAGAAGTTGAAATAATATCCTAGAAGAAAGAGATGGAGAACCACTCCTGTGTCGTTGTCCGAAAAATAGCATGAAACATCCATGAAGCCATCAGGAGTTAAACTTGCTACTTTTTTTAAAAAAGCTACTTTTTCTATAATAATGTATGTCTGGATTTACACACTACCCTAAACCATAACATAATTTATTTGGGTCTGGCCTAGTGAATCCAGCCACTGTGATTTGTAAGCATAAATTACGGCTTTTTTTTCATATGTGAATACAGGTAGTCCTCGACTTACAACAGTTCATTTAATGACCGTTCAAAGTTACAACAGCACTGGGAAAAAAGTGAGCTATGACTGTTTTTCACACGTGACCATTGTACCATCCCCATGGTCACATGATCAAAATTCAGATGCTCAGCAACTAGCTCATATTTATGACAGTTGTAGTGTCCTGGGGTCATGTGATCACCTTTTGTGACCTTCTAACAAAGCAAAGTCAGTGGGGAAGCCAGATTCACTTAATAATCGTGTTATTGACAACTGCAGTGATTCACTTAACAATTGTGGTAAGAAAGGTCATAAAATAGGGAAAAATTCACTTAAAATTCCTGTTTAGCAACATAAATTTTAGGTTCAGTTTCGGTCATAAGTCAAGGATATCTACTTGAACCTAGTTGTGTAGTTTATTGATTTATTTAAGCAACACATCTTGCTTGAAATAAATACTACTAGTGTATTGTGTGAAATCAGCCAGAAATGTTTCTAAAGGTAAAATGAATTAATTTCTGTCTTCCTGATGCCATCCCAGATATTGTAGGTTTATTTTATCCTCTTTTTTTTTTTTTTTTTTTTTTTTGAATCCATGTGATCAACCTTTAAGGCTTCATATGTCTGCTTCTGGCTGATAATTATTTAGAACCTCATTTTCCAGTCT